ACTTGGGTAGCAGTAAACTACTACCCAAGTACATTGGCCCATTTCGTGTATTGCACCGCCTAGGCAATGCATACACGATCGAGTTACCACGTAAGATGCGAACGCATCCCACGTTTTACGTTGGTCGGCTTAAGCCGTACCATCAGTACGCTGCTTCTTCCGATGAAGAACGCCCTTGCGCTCAAGCATCTCGCAGAGAGCCTTGTGCTCCCTGATGGTGGGCATCAACAAGGGTCTGAAGAGCAGTTATCTCAGCCCGAGACCGATCAACAATCCCACGAGCTACCCTTAGCTCGTCACGAAGAGATGTCAGAGATCTCTCGTTCTCAAGCTGAGCAAAGGCAAACTCAGCTCGATGCTTCGAGGCAGTGTCCACCATCTGGAGACGCCTATTCCGCTCATGCTCGAGATCGTCGCGTAACCCTTGCGTTACGCGATCAAAGAAGCTCTCGGGAACACACCGATCCACATGATCGTGTGGAGAGCGTCTTTCCTCCTCCTCCACCTCCATTAGAGGACTCTCGCGGTGGCCAGCGCTATCTAGTAGAGCAGCTGTTGAACCACCGCGACGTGAACGGACGTCGGACGAGTTACCTCGTCCGGTGGCGCGGCTATCCCCCGTCCTGGGATTCTTGGGAGCCCCGCTCCCAATTGATAATCGACGTACTGGGTCTGGTTGAGCAGTACGACGCGACACATCCTGTGCCGCAGAAGGACCGCCGGAGAAAGTCTTCCCGGCACGGTCGTAAAGGGATTTCAGGTTGTCAATCCCTTCGTACATCTCAGTAGAGACACGTACGCGCCACCACGGGCTGGTAAGGAGGTAAGCCTCCTTAGGTGCTCGTGCAGAGTTGTTCACACAACATGGGCACGAGTCTCCCCAAGAGAGGCAGGGTAATCCTTTCTCCCTTGACAGACGATGCAGCTTGTAGCGCGCACCTGTCGGGGTTCGCTTTTCAAACTTATCACGAGCTTTGATAAGTTTGTCGTTCCAAGCGTCACGACCTACATCCTCGAGATTATGGATGTAGGCGTTCCACGCTTGAAGTAGTGAGGGACCATCACGTTTGTGATTCCCACTGTACCATCGGTGTCTGAAGAAAGCATCGATGAAGAACTCATGTTCAGCGCGATAGTCTTTCGCGCTGGGGTCAAGGTGATGAATCCTCGACGAATCGAACAATCGTGTTCGATAACGATCACTCGTCGTCGCCGACAAGTGATCCATGACAGATTTAGGAGGCATCCATGCCCTTCTTTTCTGGAGCGAGACGCAACACATTGCGGTCCCGCTCTTCCTGCGACGTGCCGACAGAAGTACTGGCACCTCGCTGTGAAGTGGTGTCCATTGGAGAAACGACACCACTATTAGCGCCCGAGTCTCGCGACCTCGAGCGCCTTCGCTTCGGCGATGGTTCATCTGACTCATCAGATGAACCAAAGATGCTGCGACGCAAAGCATCGTCCATGCCACGCTTGGCAGGCGGCTTGGATTCAATTGCCGTCGATACGGATCCGTCATCCGTATCAGGAGAGTACGAGACACCGAGCTCGTACTCTGTGAAGACACGAGTGTCTTCATGACCAGCGCCTGCATCACCAGGTGATACAGGCTGAGTCGATTCAGCAACCGATGGGATATCAGTTGCTGTAGTTTCTGCTTCGGCGTCCGCACAGAGACGTGCAGACGCGCTCTCGGCGGCCTTGCTCGCGCATCGCATGGGCTTGTTTACCATGCGATGAGATGTTGGAAAGTGGACGCGGACCAACAAGTGCAAACCCCGTCCCAAATGATTTGGGACGAGTATCCATTTAGTCAATCAGTCACTAAGGTGACTGATGGTTAAGGGGGGGGTGATGTAACGGGGTGAATCGTTACATAACAATTTATAAGAAATTGTTAATAGAATATAACTATAAGAGTTATATTCTCAGAATATTGTCATAAGGACAATATCCTGTAGCACTTCCAAGTAGTTCCTAATTGGTTGATATAGGCCATTATATCAACCAACGAAGACGCGCCACGACAGACGCACGCAATGAGTGGTGAGCAGATAACTGATTTACACATTTGTATTTAGACATAGTTAGATGAAGATAAATAGTGATTTATTGCAGACATTAACTATTATAAATACAGTTCTACTTTTTACTCTAACCGAGTACTCGCTTCTTCTTACCGTCTTCCTCTGCACGTACGAGTGTACGTGAAGTTACGAGGCACCGCCTTATTCTGTTATCAGAATAAGTAGCTTGTACTGTCACCAGTACAAGCTTCAGGGTGCCCCGTTACACTCAGCAATGATCTCATTTTCATCTGGTGTAAAGACGACCTCCTCCTCAGCAGGGTAGTTAAAAAGGACTCTGATGTCCATTGGGTTCTGGTACCGCAACTGACGGATTTGCAATTGCAGATCTTCGATGGTCTCATTTGTCGACCAGCTGCTGTGCAGTAACTCTAGGGGTTCCCAAAGCAACCGATCGAATCTTGCAGTGAAGGCAGCAATCTGAAATTGTTTCGGCCTTGACATCTGAGTTCAAAGCTCAACCGCCATTCGAATGGCCTGGAAAACATTAATCCTCTCCGGATCTTCCACATTTTGCTCGAGGCGCTGAAGGAGCAAGCAATTGAAGCGCCTGCAATGTTAGGCCTTCAAATCCTGATGATGCCTGCGTCGCACGGCTGAGGTTTCAAAGTCGTAGTGGGTGAAAGGTTAAAACCGTGGTGTTGCGCAACCGGATACCTATAGGAAGTTGAGCAAGCGGTAAATGCGCACTGCAGTTTTCGATGATTAGAAGAACTTACGTCCGGCCATGCGAGCATCAAATGATTTCAGCAACTCGGTGAAGATGGCTTGTGTCATTTATGTTTTGCTGTTTTTTTGGTACTTGCAGCTGATGGTGTCAAGGTTGATATTTTTGAACCAACGCAGACTTTTCAACTTTCCTATGACAAGGAGCGGCAGCTTGTCACTACATTGCCATTGCAGCACACAGCCAAAGGTGGTACGCTCTTTGTTTGTTTGCGGCCTTTTAGGTGCTTGTTACCAGCGAATTATCTGCCTGTGAATAAATTTACGTAAGCACAAAGTGTGACAAAATGTTGCAAACAAGACCAATTGCCAAAATAAACCTGCAGCCGGTAGAATAGCCCGGTTTCATCCAAGTTGTAGATATCTTTCCACTCGTACATATGCAGCGTCTCCCGGATGTCAGGGAGTGATTCCTCGATGAGTGTCTTGTCAACAGAACCACTCTCTCCAAAACAACAAAAGGACTTGATTCCATGCTAGTCTTTCTATGATTCCAGCCAGCCATTCGAGAACTCGAACACATCATGAATAGGATAGAGGTGGTCAAGAAATGGGCTGCTTTCTGTTTGATAAGGTCCCCGCTCACGTTGACGCGATCCTGATGGCTAAGGAACCACGCAACGAGAACAGATTCCATCTGAGGATACTTGACAGTCCTTTGACGTTTTGCTTTAAGATTGCTGTGTCGTCGGCATTCGCTAAGATTGTGGTTTTTCTTTTGTGAAGGCCTGAGTTTGTGGGCTGACTGACTTTCACCTTGTACCTCTGTTCTAGCTACTGGATGAGCCCCATTTAGCTGAGCTAAGGATTCTTATCATGGCGCTCACACAAAGCAATGCGTATCGTGTCCGTCATTGACGTGTACTTTGTGCCTTTCGGAGGCCTATTGGAGGGAGAAAAGTTGGAGGATGGCGGAAGACTCCCTTTTTATATAAGTGGTGGTTGTCTTGGGGTGGCGGCTGCAGCAAGAAATAAAAATGTAAAAATGCCGATGGCACCATTTTTCCCACTTGAAAAAAATCCTTAAATAATCTGTCCCTGCCCAAAGTAATAACCTATGTAAAGTAATACTTAGACCTCGTTTCTAACGATATTTCTTTAGACGGGTTCTACTGCAATTGACTTTTAAGATATCGTCAAAATTAGTGACCATTTGCGTTCGGCAGTCGCGCACAAAACGCCCGATTATGTATTTTGAGTACTGGCTGCTTCGCCTGCTGCTTATTAGCCTTTCCCTGTCTGTGCTTTGGACCCTCCCTAATACTACCCAACTCACCAACAAGTCGCTCATTTTTCACTGAAGAAGCGGACCGAGTCATCTTCAATCATCTCTGCCATATGCTCGGACTCACGAGTTTTGCTCGGGGAGGAGTGCTGGAACATCGATTTCTGTCGGCTATGTACTAGTCTATGGAGCCAAAGATATCCCTTTGTTCGTAATGAGCCTTCGTCTACATCACTGCTCATGATCAAGTGAAGAACGGGTGGCAAGCAACAATACGGCTGGTATATCTATCTAGCTGGTCGTTTCAATTGAACTTTACATCTACCCCGTATGAGACCAGAGGATGTAGCACTCGAACGCATGGATTCTAACCCTTTTTCGTTCTCGCTTTTAACTTCTCCTTCAGTAAACACCTTGATCTACTCCATCGCTATGCTACCGTCGACTTCCAGAATACCTTCTGCTGACACCGTGCTCCGACGAGTCCTGTGTAACGCGAGCATCATACGTTAAGCAGATGCTCCACTCTATCTACCTATTTCTTAACGGCCGATCGGACTCACCGCACGCAAACCTGGCGCCAGAAAGACCCCAACTTGTCCAGTCTAACGGAAACTCAGCAGATCCTACACACGACGCGCGGTACCGCCGTCAACGAAAATTTGCTGGCGCTAGAACTAAACATTTACTTGTGCAATGTGTTGCCTCGATGCGCGCTCTCAGAAACTGCAGGCCATCGTTATTTCTGTCATCGACTCTTTTGTAAGAGTGCCAGCGCCACAAGCTATACTGAGTACACAAAAGTCACTGCAAAATTTATTCATTCGTGAGACGCGGCGCTACGTTGTCTACCACGCAATCAGGGACATCAGCAACATTTTATGTAAACGCTCGCAGCAGAAGCGCAGATATCAGGTGAAAACGAACATGCCATTCGGATGCAGTCATGCGAGACGTATTCAACGGATTGCTTCGATGCGCCCATCAAAAGGCCAAGCTTTTCCTAAATGATCCGGAAACACAGCATCACTCAGAGGCATCACCTTGCCTTCGTTCCATGTGGCATTATTGAGCGCACACCGAGCAATGTCTGGCAGCTGCTCCCACGTGATCAACGTCTGGAGCTTACCGCCTTCCTTGCTAGTCAATGCGATGGCGTGCCTCTCACCCACGAAATCGTACTCGAGTTTGACACTTGACCCGACCCTAAACTCAGCCCCAGGTGCTATCGTTTTGATCCGACCGTGAGCGGCTATCGTTGTCACCGCCAAAAGCTCCGCATTCGGGTCTTCCGGATTGCCGGTCCAAAGGACAACATACTCCCAGTCATGACGGTGGCCATTGCCGTCTTTCGGTTCGTACCACGCGTACATAATGCCCCATGAGTCCTCGTACCAACCTGAACGCGCGTAAACTTGATCCCCCAGTCCAGATCCCTTGCACTTGCCATCAGAGCGTCCTGAAGGCTGGAGACCGCTGTTAGTCTGACCCAAAACGTTCACCGCGGGGTATGGATGACATCCGTGAACAACGAGGAGCGTTGGCTGGAATTTAGCGGCAGCCTTCGCGGAAAAAGTCACGGGATCTTGTTGGGGAAGCGATTGCACAGCGTCGTGCTTGATCCAATCATTTCCGCACTGTTTTGGGTACGGCTCTGGGTTCGGCTCTGAAGCCGAAACTGCGAGCAGAGCGGCATACATGAGAACGCTAGTCCTCATACTTGCTTGTCCTTGTGTCTCCTGGCGAGAGAATTGCTGAATGGACAAAAGCCGATGTGCAGCAGGAATAGGCAGCAAAACGTGCGATTGCGTAGCGTCTGTGATCCTCTTTCATGATGTGTAGCGGCGTGCTCTTGTGGTTTCGATTTTACGGTTTATCAGCATTTTGGTCCCTCCCTTACAATTCACGTACTATGTAACCTGCTCTTTGCTGTGGACCGCATAGAGCATGCTACAAATCCAGTAGTGCTTCGCCCATGTACAGTCGAATCTGCGTGAGCTGCTACTACACCTGCACTGGTAGCCTGTCGAAACTGATTAATACTTCCAGTTTGACGAGGACTTGTCCCTCTCATCTGCGGCAGGGTGTCCATCTGCGGTCCTGTGTATCCTCCTGCTCCAGCCAGAACAGTTCTAAGCACCTAAATCGCCCGCTAAGCCCTAGCAGCCGCACCAGTGAAAGCACCTCACTGTCGTCTGCATCTATAGCGACTTATTTAATCACCCATGTGATAGAGTGCTCTTAAATGACCTCGCCGGTGTCTGCTGGTATGTGACGACCGCCTGATCTTGATACTAAACAAAATTTGGATGCCCTTCGGATTGTTGCGGCACAACCGCCGATCAGAAACCCAGTTGTTCCTCAACAGAAACTAAAAAACGATGATTCTGACCTAGACTGTGGGCCGGACTACGAATTCTGCAGGGATGAAGCAGATGACGATGATCGTGAGTGCGACCTCATTCGTCCATACCGATACTGCAAGCCTGATAATGAATAGGAAATTAGTCTATTTCATTCAAGTCTTGGCGTTGCTGCGAAAGGTACATCCGAGGTTAATAATATTGATTTAGTTGTGGTGCGGTATCAGAATGAATGTCGTGTAGCCCGCCACAGCCAAAAATTATGGTTGATGTGCAGTGCTGTGGATTCGTATCCTTCGTGAACTAATTTAGACCTTTAGTTTTGAGGAAATCTGTTAATCCAGTCCTTCTCGATAGTGCAGCAGTTCGACAGAGCCACAAAGAGGGTGCTACTCATCACAAAGAAGCTGCGACGCGCAAAGCGCTACGAGCAAGCGGACGATTGCGCCTGCAATCACAATTATGCTTGTCCATGCATTAAGCACAAACACGGACAGCAACAGCATGGTCGCCACAAAAAGCTAAACAAAGTAAAGAGTTATGATGCAATATAAAACCTATATCAGAGTGCGCTGCATCCGGAGCTTCTCCCAATGCGATTTTGTGTCCTTTACAGTCTGATGGCGTAGCTTCATGAGTGTGTAAGCACACGCTGCATAGAAGAACATGAGGTTCGATCTCTTCACGTTTGCAATGTACTTCGAGCTTAACGCTGCCATCACTGGGGTTATTCGTAGTCTCAGACATTGCCAAGCGATTGGGTATGCTAGGTCAGCCCTTGTTGCGATGTATACACGACGCTTTGCTAGCTCTCATGTTGTCGCTTGCTTCATACATAAGCAGGTAGGTCTCTTCACTCGAACTTAACGGTCAGGCAAGGAATGCGTCTGACGACCTTCAGCTGATGACTTCAACCAGTATTCAATGCCAGTGATGTGCTACCTCGACAGCGCAATGATCCCAAACTGCGGTTCAGTCCGTATGCGGTTGACTATGACGATAGGTCAACTCCAGAACGAGCTTTTGTTGTGAGCTGAAGTGGTTGGTGGATACTTCTCGCCGTGTCTTTGTCAACCTACCAGCAGCCTTGTTGTCGAAACAATGTTTGCTGTCAATGGACCTAGCGGGCCTACCTCCCGTAACGAGCGGCGCGCAAAGAGCGGCCGAGAACAAGAGGAAGAGGAGACGATCAGGAAGATTGACGCCGCGAAAAAGCGCGAGCAGTTTTTCCAGGCAAAGCGCGCGCTACCTGACAAACGCAAAGAAGGTGCACGCACGAAGTTGTACTCGACAACGTTAGAGTCTCGTTTCACATACGCTGCTCATGTTACTACAGGCCCGGAAAATCCAGTGAAGTCTGTGTGTGCGTCCGATATTTTCACGGTGTGCGGCAGCTGATTGAGCCTATGCAATGCTTCGGTACAACGAGAGTGACTTGTTGTCTGTCTACAGGGTTGTCGGATCGTGTTTAATGGCCGCACGGGCAAAGTGTCTTCGTACGTTACGGACACGATCGATGTTCGTGTACGAAATCATTCACACTCGTATCTCTTGTCTATTGTTGCACAGGTACAACTTGGCAAAGTTGGTGCAGGAGCATGGTGGCAACGTCGCGTACGTGCGGACTTTTGCTCGACTTCCCACTCACACGTCAGTAGCTGACGCTCGATCCGTAGGTCTGCATTGACGGCAACACGCGTTACTCACATGGTCGGTTCCAATCTGAACGGGTCCAAGGCGGACAAAGTGCTTAAGGTATGCTTACGTTTTACTCGATTGACAGCACGTTGCTGACCGGCTGGACACTTCTCTGATGATACAGAGCGCGAGCAGGCTCAAGTTCGTGACGCCAGGTATTCTTCTCCTACGCTGTCGGTGACTGACAGGTTATCGCTCTCATCTCATTGACGATTTCGGCTGACACAGAGTGGATCTTGCAGTCTGTCAAGCTCAAGAAACGCCAACCTGAGTTTGATTTCCTCGTCTACAAGGACAACCTCACGCTCTGTACCATGTTTTCGCGAACTGCGTCATCACCCAAGTGAACAATTTCACGGCATTCTGCTACTGCAAGTGTTTGTTTGCCTGCAGACGGGTAACATTCCTCCGAATCGAGCTTCCTCCCACGCACGAGGAACTCAGATAGCCACAACAACGGAACGCAATCAATTCGCACTTGTAAACGAGAAAAATATACCATGTATGGGGTCAAAACTATCCAGGGTGACACATGTTCACTCCTTTCAGCCAATACCGCTAAGCATGCATGACCGAGGACAAGAGCGCACATCCGATCTGATGCTCCATTCCAGACCCATCAAAACCTCAAATAGCCTCCACACCCGCGTCGCACCAGTGTTTACTCTTATCCTGTGCAGAACCTCGTCGATGCGCAGATGATCCCAGCGCTATAAAGCTGCGGCTGGCCCAACTACTGTACGCACCAGGCGAGGGGGCAAGACAACACGGCTTAACAGCACTTTGACCCTCCGTTGGAAGGCACCTGCTGGCCGGGTGTCAGCTTGACGCCGGCCTTGGGAGCCACGGGAGCGTTGGCCATGCGCTTCTTGATCTGGGCAGCCATCATCATGAAGGCTTTTTCGACGTTGGCTGCGTTCTTTGCACTAGTCTCGAGAAACTCAATCCCCAGACTCTCGGCAAACTCCTTGGCGGCATCCGTGCTCACCACCCGCTTGGCCGTCAAATCACTCTTGTTGCCCACCAGCAACTTGTTCACGTTCTCGCAAGCATATCTGCAGCCACATCAATCAACACTCATGAGTCCATGACCGTCCGAAAAAAGACTGACAATGAGCCGTCGAGCTCTATCAACGCACCGATCAATCTCGTGCAGCCACTGCTTAACATTGTTGAACGACTCTTGGTCCGTCACATCGTAGACCACAATAATGCCGTGGGCACCGCGGTAGTAACTGCTAGTAATCGTGCGGAACCGCTCTTGTCCGGCTGTGTCCCACTGTGCATGACAAACCATCTACCGTCAGTTCTGCACTTGTAAAACTGACTACAAACAACAGCTGGCGTACAATCTGAAGCTTTATGGTCTTGCCATCCAGCTCAATAGTGCGGATTTTCTGCACACGACCACAATCAACAACACCTCGTCAGACTATACATCCTCCTGCAGGTCGCCAAAGCGCCCCGTTTGCCAACCAAACCAGGCAGCGCTCCAAAGTCGTCGCCACTCACAAAGTCCACGCCGATCGTCGAAATGTAGCTCTCCGTGTACGTGTCGTCAGCAAAGCGAAGCAGCAGACACGACTTGCCGACGCCAGAGTCGCCAATCAGCAGCAGCTTGAACAGGTAGTCACTGTGCGTCATCGAAAACCACCCACACAGCAGCAGCCATTAGATCTGCAGCTCCACTCATTGCCACACTCGGTCCTGTACGCACTATTCCGGGTTCATCGTGAGCGATTATGAGGGGGAGGAGAAGCGGCGCGTGAAGGTGCAGAAGCTGAGGCAGAACAGAGAATCGTTAATCGTCATGACTGCTGCAGCTGGTCCCACTCGACTCTTCTGCAGAGGCAGAGAGAGCGGAGGGGTAGGGGACGCGTCAAGTCGGTGACTACTCACAATGAGAGGGCGCGCGTTCTGAGCGTTCTTTAGGTTGTGAGTGAGCGAGAGGAAGAGAAGAATGTGGGGGGATATGGACGGTTGGGGTCGTCTTCGGCGGCAGGTGATTGGCCAGAATGTCCCGAGCGATTCGGCGACCAGTTGGAGGCTTTTCATTGGTTATTAGGTGCCAAGGGTTCTTGAGCACGGATCCAATCATATTCGAAGCTGCTCGACAATTGATCGTGTGGCCAACACAATCGAGCATTCGAATCGTCCTACTTTTTACAACGAAAAGATCACGACGTCTTGCGATTGCTCGCCGATACGAAAGCCGAGCTGAAACTCTCACGTTCCGACGAATAGACAACAGCTGAAGCGTCGATAGGGCAATTTGTCATACTCACACCGGGACCGAAACTTGACTCAGAGTAGTGCTGGGGGTGTCTTGGTTGCAGGTGCAAATGTTAAATTGGTATTGTACACGGCGTAAGCCAGCGGCTACTGGGTGCAGCAATGGCTCGTTAGGACGCGAAGTCGACAAGTTTTTGTGTCCTGACGAGAAAAAGACACTGTGTCGGCAATATCAGTCCTTTTTTAATGCTGGAGCACGATGGTGTTAGTGTGAACGTCCAGTCGACGATCCTGCTTGTTCAACTTCGCCTGAGTCCGCGCTGACATCCAGAAAGACATTCCGGCTAAATACAAAAGCATTTTATGACCAATTTGCTCGATTTGTTCTCGAAGACGTTCGTCCCAAACAATCCGTCCCTAAAGTTATTTAATAAACACTTTTCCAAACAATCCGCCCAAAAAAGCAGAAACAAAAATCAGTTGTGTACGCAACATGAAATACCCGAAGAAAAGACGGCGGATTCGTCTCAGGGGTCGGGGTACCTCGCCGTTGTTCCGCCTTTCGACTCCCCCCCAACACAAAAGGAAAAGGCGCCAGCTGCGAAGACCCGTGAGTGACAGGAAGAAGGCGAGTAGGTGGTTCACAGCCGCTCTCTGCCAGGGAGTAGCGAGTGCCCAGTAGGGGTGTCGTCCACATGAATGGAGAGCGCCAACAGCACACGCAGCTCTTGATCAGACGTCCACAACGAAGTCGCAGTTGAGCTAATGGACGCTCGATGTTGTGACTTGTGTAGACGTGATCGATCTCTCTCTCTCTCTCTCTCGCTCATCTCCGTCGTGACCATGAGCTCGTTCAAGAAGGAGCACCCGTTTGGTACGTGGGTCGCTTCCCCTCAGCTTGGCACTGAGCGTGGAAGGACAGAGCGCTGACGATGTGTTCTTGGGGGTTCCAGAGAAGCGCCAGGCTGAAGCGCAGCGCATTCGCTCCAAGTATCCCGACCGCATTCCCGTGCGTGGCTATTTCCTTTGTATCTATAGATGATGGAATGAGTGGAGAGGTCCTTGTTGTTGGATTGGCTCTCTCACATTGCTGTGGGTGGGCATGTGTCTGTGGTCTCTATCGCTGTGTCTTTGTAGGTGATTTGTGAGAAAGCGGACCGCAGTGACATCCCAGACATTGACAAGAAGAAGTACTTGGTGCCGGCCGATCTGACTGTCGGTCAGTTCGTGTACGTGATCCGGAAACGCATTAAATTGAGCCCGGAGAAGGCCATTTTCATCTTCATTAACAACGTGCTCCCGCCCACCGGTACGAACTGGATACAGGTGTCGGTCTCTTGTGTGTTTACTGTAGTTTACTTACTCAAGTTGAAATGTGTGCATCTTGAATTGTACAGCTGCGTTGATGTCGAACATTTACGAAGAGCAGAAAGACGTGGACGGCTTCCTCTACATCACCTACAGCGGCGAAAACACTTTCGGCCAATAGGCCGAACGTGGTGTCGATGTACGGGACCTGGATTCTCGCGGGTCGTCCGTCGTTGCTGTCGTGAGTTGTGAAACCTGGTGCTCTCTTATGGCAGGAGGTGCAGCGTTCATGCAGCTTTAGGTATCGATCAAGACGTCGTCTTGAAGTTGGATGGGAAAAGATGAGGTGGGCGTGGATGAAAGCTGATCGGCCGGCGACGCTTGCTCCGAACAGCTTTGGTGTGTGCGGTTCATTCTTTTATGCTGGCGATGTGGATATATGTTAGGAAACAAAACAGAGAAAAATGCATGACCTTCGCCTATTTTCGTTCGTGCTCCCATTGTTACTGTCGTAGTACGATGTTTAATGACGGTGTTCCTCGCCACGTTGAAACTGCAGCATCTGCAGACCCTGACCAACGACAACAACATCGTCCGCCGTTCCAGCTAGAGCTTGCCGAACTGCGAGGTCGGCAATGTCGGCACACTCCGAGAACGCGGCACCTTGCCACTCAAGCTCAAACCCATTTTCGTTGCGCTGAATATTCCACTTGCTCACTCGTTGGTCGTAGCCGGCTGCAAAAATGACTTGAGCATTTACACACGAAACTGCTTTTATAGCTGAACCGCTCGCATTTACCATCCGGGTTTTGGAAAGCAGTTGGCACGATGGAAAGCGCAGCTGATGTAAGTTTAAATTCTGGTCATCTCCACCGCTGACGATTGTTACGTCCAGGCTTCCCTCTTCGGCACTTCTTGCACAGGAGACAAGGTCCATGCAGTTTGTGCCCATATCGTGTGCCAAGTAGTTACCACTTGGACGTAGCTCACTAATCAGCGGCTCTAGCTTTTCACGAAGCTGTTCCACGTCAGAATGGGATCGAACAAGCAACGACCCAATCTTCTGCAGCAGCAACGTCAAATCCCACAGTGTCACCAAACCATCCGTGGAGCCAACTGCTAGGCCTGCAATCATCGCGTCGGCTTCACCTTCCTGAAATCCTACGCAAGACAAAATTGGTTTTCTCGAGGCTGAATGGCAGTCACCGAGCTCGAAAAGTCCAGCATTATTCACGTCTAGCAAAAGCAGTTGAGTGGATCCTTCGGAGTTGCAAGCCGTCACAAGTCGGTAATTTTCCGAGTTGCGAGGAATCGGGAACGTAGTAAGCCCAAGGATACGATGATCCTGCGCTGCTCCTGCACGTTCCTGGCCACAAATATGACGAAGTAGATTGTCGTCACCAGAAACTAGCCATACATTCAGGCGCTGCTTGCCTCCGCCCGAGAGCACGATGTGTTCCTCAACGCCATCAATTTTTATGCGAGGATACGTGGTGAGCGCCCTCACAATTGTGGTGTGGGCAATCCCTGAAGCTACGCCGCACCAGCGCAAGTGTTCGTGCTTCTCGTGGTCATGTTGAGTGCGGCGGCGACGATGCAGCATTAAGCTGTTGTCTTCTGCTGCAGTAACTAAGCGTTCTTTTCCGAGAAAAGATACACAAGTCGTCATGCGACTATGATGATGATCATGCAGAGAGCATCTGGAGAAAAAAGAAGAAGTTCCTGAAGAATCGTGCGCATCCAGAAGCGTAGAGTGCACCTTGATATCAACGTGCTGCTTTTCCGTTGTTCGAGGCGTGAATACAAGTGTATGAGAGGGAACGGCGTGCTGACATCCATCACCACGAGTGTAAAGGGCATGGGGGCGGCGCCAACCACCACATTCCACCTCGAAGATACAATACTGCGCGGACGCGTTGTACAGAATAGCGCATGACGCCTGGAAACCAAAGACCATAAGGTCATGTTGCGGCACGCCGTCGGTAGATGCCATTTGCCTCCACCAGAGCTGCTTGACTGTGGAGATTCCTTTGATGGATTCACGGCCCAACTGTTCAATTGTCAGCGCCCCACTCGATCTAGTATCGTCTTCTAATGCATAAGAGCAAATGTGTCCGTCATGGCCACCAGATAGCATCGTGAGATGGCAATTTTGAGCATTACTAAGTAAAAGCGATGCCACCAACTCACGTCCGTGGACGCTTTTGAGCATGTGAGCAGGGGATTTGGCCGCATCAACATCGTAGTCGATGCTACTCGGAGCATACGGACGATGAAAAAGATAGACGTTACCATGCCCGTCGCCTCCCACGATATTCCTGACCTTGGCTGATCGATCTACCACCAAGATTGACGAGATTGAGCTCTGTGTCGGGATTTTATATACAGCCACGAGACTTATTGCAACGGACACGGATGCCATGTCATTGCATGCCTGCCTAATGACAGGCTTCCACTCGACGAGGGCGCCACCAGCACTACTAATGAAGAGAGCATCCTCTTGGTCCCACCAAATTTTCATAACACGAGTGTTTGCTTGTGAAGTCCATGCATGCAACAGATTGCCCGTAGATGCCTCAACAATACACACACGCCCCGTTACTTCGCCAAGTAACAAGAAGCGTCCAGAGAAATCGATTGAAAATGCCGACAATCCACCAGTGCGTGTTTGAATGAAATCACTCCCACTTGGAGGGACAACAAAAGCAAGTTTTGCTGTAAGTGATATTAGATTCAGGCAAAAAATCTCACCGCGCTCGGAGGCTACAAATGCAGTCTCACCATCGTCGACCGTGCTCAACACAATGTTTCTTACACTGTAAGATGATGGACCACCCTTCTTTTCGGTCGATATTATAGGAACACGAATAGTTCTACACACTTCACTCGTCTCCGGCGCGTCAAAAGAAGACATGAGCTGACGTGCAACATTCCAGAGTTTTACCGCACCATCACCACCTCCTGTGACAATCAGCTCTTGTGACGGGTGAACAGCTACACGCCACACATGCCTGCCCACGTGACCCCGCAACGTGGCTACACAATGACCGTTCAAATTCCAGAGCTTGGCAAATCCATCTTCGCTTGCTGTTACCACACCACATTGCCAGAAAGTGACGTCCCAAATACGTGCCGAATGGCCCCAGGCCCGGAACACTGGCAAGTACGCACTCTGCAACAATTCAGCTCGACTTGATATCCTGGACATGTGCAGTTGCTCGACCTTGGCGTTTCTATTGTTCGACCACAACTGCACAGTACGATCGTCCGAGACCGAGGCCAGAAAGTGGGCATCAGACGACCACGCCAACTTGAAAAGCACGCCCTCGTGAGCATGCAACCGTTGCACCGGTGCAACAGCAGTGTCAGTATTCTCAAGTCCATAATCCATTGGATTCCACAACAGAATGTGCTGATAGACTGTTCCCGAAGCAACAATGAGCTCGTCCAACGAGCGGCCGTAGAACGCCAACGCGTACAAAATGCAGCGCTCAGTACACTGCACGCTGAGAAGGACATCGCGACTAGTGGGGTCCCATATTTGCACCAAATTGTGAGCAAGTCCAACCGCAACCAATAAATTCTTCTTCTTCCCTGATGTACCCAAATCATCCGTCAACAAGTGAGCATCGAACACCCAGTCGCTGAATACTTTTGGGTTTCCAAGTGTCACGAGCTCCTTAATCTTTTGAGCTGCTTCACAACTTTGTGGTAGGTTTGTAAAGCACGATACACGCTTCTGACCGAAAAAGACGCCAGCAAATGACTCTGAAGTGGCGCGAGGAAGTCGGACGATGTCGCAGCCGTGGAGAATACCGCGAGGCAAGACAATGTGCTGACCTTGTAGCTCACCAGAAGAGACAGAGTAGAGAAAGACCGTCGGACCGACGCCTACGTAAATCAGAGACCCATCGGAAGAAAAGGACAGGAGCGTCACTGCGCCCACGAACTCCTGCTTCTTGTGGAGCGCCATTCAAGTGTCGAATGACAAGCATGCGGTATACCGCTGATGGAACCGGTATAAAGGGTTCCTGTCAGCACCGTAGCAAATTACTCGCATCGTAGCAAATTACTGGCACCATAAGTAATTAACGTGCTACTAATTTATAGAGGTTTGTGGACGCGTGAATTTTTGTAATTTGCATCGTGACGACTCTCTTGATAGCAATACGGCACAATTAAAGTATTTTTTTTGGCTGAGCCGAATATCGGCTTCGAGCAGAGTCAATATTTCGCTGTACTTTGGAGGTGTTTTTACCAGTATCTACAATGTCGTAAATCGAGATTCCTTCAGCTCTATAAAAAACATCTGCTGAGTTTAGTAGTCGATGCGAGTTTTTCCAGTGCTTGAATCCAATGGCAAAGATTTTGCCATCCTGCGTACACAATTAAGAATGTATTTCTTCATCATGACCCGATATAACCGATCGGTAATCACCATTTTGCTGGCACCAACACTATTGTAGAAGCTGTGATTCGCTGAATCCTTGTCGTGCGCCGTAGTTTTAGGAGCTGTGGACAATGTATTCATGTATGTCGCCATTCCAGCACATGAATCACAGCTTGAAACATGCTTCATTTGGGCCATCCACTGGGTTTAGGCTCCCTACTTGTTTTAAGCACCCGTTTATTTTTTTACGATTCCCCTTTGTTATTCGATGAAGCACATGCGAACGCTACGTGCATGCTCAAAGGAATTCGTGCGGCCATAGCCGAACGGATCGTTTGTCCGAAAGAGATTGTAAGTCGTCGGCTTCCATGTATATCAGTTCCACCGTGAGCGTTTAGCTCGAGACATACAGGTCGACATGCGATACGCAAGCAACAGAGGCCGGTGTCGAGGGTACGTACAGACCTCTGCTGCCAGGTGGAATGATGGAAACAGATGATCAGTTACACCGTTATTTGCGACTTCGAGGGTGCCACCCCTTCTGGTTCTGCGGATAGTAGGGTCCACGAGGAGCATCTTTCCAGTTTGAGAGTATTTTCTGATCCGTCCACCGCTTCTCTATTTTTGTACTTGCAACACACACGTTGGCCACGACCCGTCTGATAAGTACACTAGCCTTTCAACCGCTTCATAGGAAGTACCTCGACGCCAATGCAATCCGTCGAACTTGCACGCACGTAGCTAGCGATCTACAGCAGCGTCACCTTAGTAACCGTAAAGGAGTTTCCATCTGCTCTTGCTTGTAGCCGTATCGCGAATCGCGACTATCCCCGGCTCTGTCCCATTACGAAGCCACATTGGATAAGTCGCTTGTGCATCCGAAATGGCCCTCTCCATTCAATTGGATTCGATCCCAACTCCTCGTTCAGTCTCCACTTTCACTGTCGCGTTCTTGCCTTGGAGCCTGTCACCATCTGGTACGCAGTCTGACTCCTGGGCGAAAAACACGCGTGCATAAATGGGCACGCACGCACCCCTCGATCGGCACCTCCACAAACCAACGACGAGCTCCACTCTCTCGTGCCTTCCGTCCGCCACCGCAGGTCGTTGTCTCTTTTCCGACTAAACCGGGGAACCCGAACGCACGTCTCCGTTGCGTCTGTACCATCCCTTTGACCGAAAGTGACCATGTCCGCCGCCAGTCCTAGACCTGTTGACTCGAGTCTGGCCGCCATTGTCCGAAAAAGCCGAAGCGCGAGTGACGTGTCGCCCACGAGCGCATTTGACTTGGCGGTTGATCCGAATCATTCAAAGCGAGAAGGAGGAGGTCCTCTAGATCGTGTCTCGGTTCAGAGCGACGATCCAGTGGGAGCTGCAGCTGAACTAGAAGAAGGGGCGAAGGAGGACACGGAGCGTTTCAAGGAACGAGCGACGGGAGAGGACATTGTCGAGGCGGCGGCAGGGGAGCTGAAGGAGGAGAAGTGTACGGACTACCTTAAGACGGAGGACAGGCCAGAGATGCTGGCCGGAACGCCTTGTGACGACTCGGGGAAAGAGGAGAAGGAAGCGGTCAATCAGCAGCAGCAAGAGCCTTTAGCCCGGCTTGCAACTGCGAGAAGTGCCGAGTCGAGGTGTGTTTCGCGACGCCCGTTTGTCCCGTTGGCATCCAGGAGCTGGCGCGTGCGAGCGATGGAGTCCAATTCGCAGATTACGCGTCTGATGAAGGCCGCGCTGCTTCAGACGCTGGTGCATGCTATCCGTACTGGATCAGTGGAAGGGGTGAAGGTTGCAATTGAGCGTGGAGTGCAGGTGCAGTATCTGGACAGTCGCCAGCGCAACCTCGTCATGCTGGCAACCAAGTGTGACACCGATGCTCGTCTGCGCATTGCAATTATTTTGCTGGACGCTGGCTGTGATATGAACCACAAAGATCTGCTAGGCTGGAGCTGCCTGCACTACGCTTGGTACGCTCGAGAAACCTATTCGTTTTGAGTACTGAAGATTAACGACCATCCATGGATGTGGGCTTTGACCGTTTTGTCATTATAGTGCAAGCGGCGCTAGCGATGTGGCCACCGAGCTCGTTCGTCGTGGAGCTCGCGTCGAGTTTAATCCGTACGGCTATGGTCCTGAAGACTTTAACATCCCCAAGGTGGCACGTGCAAAGAGTCTGTTGCAGCACACGGAGCAGCTTCAGCATGAGCAAAATGTGTGTGCTGCGTGGGCGTACTTTCGTCGTCAGGCAGAGAAGTCGAACTTCAGCGTAAAGTGCAAATCGGTGAGCAGATGGTAATAGCTGGTCGTACGGAAGTAGTATGGAGACTGATGTACTTGCGTTTGGTTGTCTGCTTGTCTGTAGAACTGTGATATTGGCAAGCCTTTAAAGATCACGTTCCAAGCTCCTGCAGGACATAGTCTCCTGGACCGTATCCGCGTGGTTGACATGAACTCGGATGTGGCTCTTTGGCTGCAGGTCTCCAAGACCTTTAGTATTCCCGCCGGTGACGTGGGCTCGATCACATTAGATGTCGAGACGCTGGATCGCCCGTCGCTGTATCGTATTGTGTACGAGAAATACGAGCCGATGCCCACCCATCAGCAGCAACCAGCAGACTTGGGCGCTGACAGTAAATTGTGCGTCAAAAATCTCGATACGGGAGCGACACTGTCGATGGGCAGCGTCAATACGTTGGTGTTAAAGGAGCTCAAGAGCTCTCGATCATCGAAGAGTTCAACAAAGCTGTCGAGTTCATCCAGGTGCGCTCATGTCAAGGTGTTTCTTGACCGGTATGGAGTACTGACAAGCACCGTGTGGTGTTCACTATAGACCAGCGCCCAAATCGGACACAGCTGCGACCATGGTGCGACGAGGATCGACAACGTACGTCTTTTACTTAGCTAAGCCGTGCTGCGTAGCACGCATTGTTGATAGGTAACTTATTTTTGTTGTCCATGGTAACAGTCGAGCACGCGAGATCACTCAAAGAGTGTGCGAAGCAACCGTAGAGGAAGACGATGGTGGAGAAGAAGCCAAAGATGCTGACTTCTCAGCCGGTGACACGCTTACAGCGCAGGTGGTCGCGGAGCACCCAGCGTTGACGAGCATTACGGGTGTATACAAAATCGTGGCCATGGGGGCTGTCAGCGTTTCAACGAGGAGAACTGCCAAGGCGAATGAATATGAGATCTCTATCCGTGACAAGGGCCCACTTGGTCTTCAGTTGGTACGGATGTCATCTATGCTGCCCGCAAAGCCTCACGCGTCATTGCATCTGATGATCGTTGTTGTTTCGCGTGTGCAGGCGCCAAAAATCGATGGTTCGAAGAGATCCCCGCGTCTTATTGTACGACGCAGCCAAGGCCAAACGGCGGCCGTGAATCCAGGTGATTGTCTTGTTGCAATAGGTAACGCGAACATTGAGCACGCTGGTCTCAAGCACACGCTGTGGGCACTGAACGACGCAAAGCGGCCGCTCGTCCTTCGCTTTCGACGCGGAAATGCGAAGGAGAAAAGGAGTTTGTTTACGGCCGGTCTGCTTAAGTTTACAGGACCTCATAGACATCCCGTTATTGCGGTGTAGTCAGTCGGCTGGGTGCAGCTTTTCGTTCCGCTGATGAATTTGCACTTCTTGATGGGGTTGGCCCATCAATAATGCGAATCGATTTGAAAGTCCGCTCGCTCTACAAAAACAGTCCATCCTGTACATAACAATGTAAGCTCGTCGGCTCACAGTGGCGAAGCTTTACTGCGCTACAACATGGGATGTCCTCTGTCTACATGACAATATCCAAAAGTCCTGTTTCGGCTAGCACATCGTGTGCATAATGCTCCGGGTTTTGTTGACACGTCAATAACATGCAGCGGATGTGTCTGCCCATAATAAACAGAAGTCAGACACCTCATAATTCTGCAAAGAGCGCAAAAGAAACTCACCCTAAAGTGTTCAATCAAGTCATCTGGACGCACGTGCATATGAGCCTCTGTCTCGGGATCAAACACGGTCGCAGGATCTGCAACAGCAATCGCGTGAGAAGTAGTAAGTATCTGAAGATGTCGCTTAAGCTGGGGCAAAAGGTCTCTTACATTGCTTGCCGTCACCGCGCCAAAGGTACCAAGCTTGCGCTTCCCACCACGCTGGTTCCAGACATCCTGCGTTTTTATACTATTCGTTCAGTGACATCGAAACAACACCGTTAATATTAGCATGGCAGCCCGCCGACGCCAAAGAAAGAAATTACGAGACGTAGCAACTTACGGCGATCGCTAGCCAGGACCCAGGCCGTAACGTGCTCGCCCACGACTTCACGTGCGTTACAAAATCAAACGGTGCTTTCTTTGGCGTATACTTCTTTGCCAGTCGCCACTCACCGCCTCTTCCGTTACTGCGCCGCTGAAGCCAAGGGGTATGCCCATGGAACGTCCACGTGTTCGGCAGTATACTACAATATGGTTCGTTTGGATCGACATCGATAACGCCAAACGCCCAATGCGGGGACTCCTGCCGCATTGCGCCGGTTTTGTAGCCAGTATAATACACAAAGATCTTGTGGACACACGTCATTTGTTTGTGCATGAATTGCGACCACGACTCGGTCGTCGTAGGTCTCTCCTGCTTGAGCAGTTTGTGTAGTGGCGCCTCAGCGAGAAACTCCTCCATCATCCGCTTGGCCATGAGGTCCACGTCCCGTCTAAACTTCTTGTTAATCTATCACATACATAACCACAACTCACGTCAACAACAACATCAACAACACGCGGCCGAATTCCACCAGCTCGACAAGCTCCTCGTGTCTGCACGCACCGTTCCAAGTCGACCGAGCGCACGAGGTGCTAGAAACGCTGCGATGCGCACCTTCAGCTCCAGAGACAGTTGCTGGATGTTGCTCACTCTCTGGTACTTGCGCTTCGTGACTTGGGCCACGATGACCGCTGGCCGGCGCTCACCCGCTCGACGTCTCTTGCCTTGCGCGACAATATCCGTCAGTGTCTTCTGGAAAAAGGCGCTCTGGATGCGCAGCTCACAGGAGCAGGTCGCACGGCCGTTACAGCGGCGCGTGTGTCGCAGCCGCGAGGCATCGACGACGACTGTGAGCGTCGCGGCAGAGCTCAAGACCTTGGCCATCGCGATGTGCGCCGGTGCAGTGCTGGCGAAAGAGGTAAATACCGGTATTTATTTACATCCATCTGTCGCTCGATAGCCCTTGAATATCAGCTATGACAAACATCGTATCTCGAAACGGATCATCGAGTTGCACGTATGGTGCTCATGCAACGGCTGCTGCAACATGCTGGGACAATTCACAGATGAGCACAATATGATGCTTGCATAAATTCCACTTTAATGTTTGAATCTGATTCATCGTAGAAGAAATATCATTGATATTTTACGGAATGTACAGTGCGCATCACCTATAATCTCGACCATTATCCGATCTCCATCACTCAGCCGCTCGTCACCCCATACTTCTTATAACACAAATCTAAGACCATAGATGGCTGGAGTATGCTACTTGCTGCACTCCAAAAGTCTCGAATTTAGATTTGACAAATTTTTCGCGAAGTCATAGGACCCTAAAGCTCCGAGAATTATATATTAACCTTGGCTTGCGGCGAGGCAGATTTGGCCGCCCAAAAAATCCTTCTGTTGATTTTTTTTGGTTTTTTTCATTTTCCCATTATTTAAAAAAGTCAATTTGCAGCAGCTATAACGTTCACATCCATCAAAATTGAAGTTGAGACCTTATGGTGCGACCGATACTTCATTACGGCGTATTCGGCGGCCTTCCCGGTCAGGTTCTTCCGATACACGCCATGTACCGAACACACTTTCGAGCATGGCGGCGGATGGTAGTGAGAGAGACGAATGCCAGGGATTTTGGGACCATCTGCTCAAGGCCTTTAAAAGTGTAATCGCAATATTTCTGAGCATGGCGTTTTGATTCTCCCCAGAACATTTCGATGAAGTTCAGCTCGCAATGGAACTTAGGGCAAAAATGATGTGATGGCCGGCTGCAACGATAGTCTCTTCCTGAAGCCCTTTTTGCCTCTTGAAATTAGGCTGATTCTAGATGTCACTGCGGGCGCAGCAACTGTCGGTGTACGCGCATTTGTTGCGGCAATCCAAACGAAGATTCTGCGTCCACAGATTCCGTTCTTGCAAAACAGCCTTTATTCCCTTTGGTTTCCCAGCGGGAGGGTGGTCGTCAAGAAACACCATAGGTTGGCTGTTCTATCAGGAAGCACCAATCTCCCACTGCTGGTTGCTTTCCTTCAGGTCCAAGATTCAAGCGTGATGCGACCACAGCATCGGCCGCAAAGGCCGCATGGCTAGTCGCATTGTCAAAGGCAATAAAGATCCTTGAAACCAGGAAACTGCGCGTTGAAGATAAGAATGGCGACGTCCCTAAACTGCCTATAGAGGTGCTTAGCAGTCCGCCAACCATCATGATTTATTCCGGGATGCATTATAATGAAAGCCTCCTTTGCAACATGGGGATGCGCGGCTTGCTTGTCTGCGCTTAACGCGAGGCGACCACCTATAATGCAAGTTGTGATGTCAGTGCAAAGGTTCATGTACAAGTTTGAGGCAATACTCCATAATATACACCAACGTCAGTTGGAGGGGTGGACCCCTGGTGTAGTGGCGCAGTAAGCTGACTTCCAAGTCGCTGATTGCGGGTTCGAACCCCCCCCGGGGGCCGAAACCGGAATTAGTAACGGGTGAACAGCTGAATAACCATGCCTTCCACCAACAAACCATCTGGGAGATGCCGTAAAAAGTATAATGTGACGAATTCAACCAACGTCAGTTGGAGATTCGCTAACATTTTTGGACCTTCCTGCGCTCTTTTAGCGAATCAGCTGTTATCTTTCAGGAAGCCACAACTTTTTGTTGCCGTCGTGCGCAGCAAACGTGCTTATATCGTGCGCCTTCTGTCCACACCGCAACATCCATTTCAGGCCCTCCAAACATAGGTATGAAGGGTTCAAATTCTTCCATTTGCTGCTGAAAACTCTTGCCGATATGCAACCACGTCTGCATGCTCGTCCCCATTAACGTACATACCCTTTTTCACTTCTGAGTATTGCAGGCCAAGGACTTTTAGCCAACGAGTGGCTGTATTGACATAAATGGAAGAATCGGGATCATCCTTCGAAGGATTTCTTCAATGACACGTTTGACGAAATTGATTAATTCAACGTGTTTGTTCATGCAAAGATAGCGTCGCACCTCATCATTGACATCTTCGTCCTTGAGCAAGTTGTGGTTCTGAAGTGTTTTCCTTGCTTGCTTTCAGGAATTTTTCCGGCATCGAGGCAATCCCGTGCCCAAGCACGACGCATCACGGCAAATGACGACCTTTGCCGTTTACCGTTGCAATTGTGAGCGACGCTGCAATTTAATGGGTATATGAAGTGCAATTAGTACAATAATCGCGAGAAATCAATGTAATGCAGAGCAGACAGTGCTTAACCATATCTTCCATCCATTAAGCACAAGTCTGAAATATCCTTCAATTAAAGCAAAGCGTACGCACATAACTTATTTCGGTGGTTTCTTCGCCTTGCTATGCCTTTCGATTGCCTCAGTGAGCTTGCTAGTAGAGTGAAGCGGATCTTCGTCGTCTGATGACCATTCGTGATCGTCACCACCACTGGCAGGTTGTGCCTGAGCCTGTGCTGGGGTCTTCGCCGACACAATAGAAAGTACGATCGTTCGCGACGCAATTGCCACCTTCCTCTGTTTAGCACGCTTACGGCGTTGGGTCCTTGGGGCGTCGCCAATATACCGCATAGATCGGTTACTGCGGGCAACCTCAACCAACTCTTCAATTTTGTCAAGGATACCCGCCGTTTCCGCCGCCGTGAACTTCTCGAATTCAAGCTCAAGATCATCTTCCTCTTCACTCTTACTTTCCGCCTCCTGATTTTGATCCCCTTAATGTCTTCCACATCCTTAATCTCACTTTTCAACTCTTGAGCGCATTTTCCTTCATGTCCGTCCTCCACTTTGTCACTGTTGGCTGTGGATTTTGCTTGCCTAGCTTCATCCCTAATCTCTTCCAGAACAGACCTCATATGCTGCAAATGCCGCTGCCGTTTGTTGCGGCGCAGCAATTTTTTGTCGTTAACTGATTCAATACTTTTATTGGTGGTGGAAAGTGCAAAAGAGGTGATTGTTGTCGGCAGTGCGATGGAAGCGTTGTAAAAGGCGTTTTCACTTGCAGGAAACGAAAAATAAATTTTAAATTTGGCCAACGAAAAAATAGTTAGAGGTTATAGGTGGTGAGCACTGTAGGACTTTGGCGAGGTGCTGGATGGCTGCAGCAAGCCTTTGCACGCTATGTAGTTCACTTTGGCAGCCTATGTCATGTTATGCAGTCTGTGTATTGATGCGCAATTGCAGAAGCGTTTTCTTTATATTCCGAACGGGTTGCTGGAAAACACCGGGCTGTACTCCTGGTTCCTAACGGTGCCTCAGACATTACTATAGAGGCGTGTGTGTGCAGCCTTGGACACTGAATGTAACGGGAACCGGAGCAACACACTGGCCAACCAGTGTGGATCTACTTTCATCTACAACAGTGTAAGTGGTGCCTCGCTACCTCCGTAAAGTACGAAGAGGAACGTAAATCAACTAGGAACTGACTAGTTGCTGGTAAATGCAAAACCGTATGAAAAATAAGGGAAACAAAAAATACCCCATCGAATTACGAAAAACAGGCATATGTATTTGAAGAAAAAAATGCCGCATGCCCTAGAATACTTCTAATATAGTGGTAAACATAAAAACACACGTCGCCAGTCATTTATCCTTAGTGATTTTGCTCTCGATCTTGACCGCCGCTCTGTAGGAGCAGCCCTGGACGGGGTTCTGCGCACACGCGGACGGCGATGGATAGACATGGCACGTGTTCTTATCATCGTCCGCGTTCTTACACACAGACTACCTGTGCTGCTGTTACCATAACTGATGTGATTGGTTTGGTTCTTGTTGTCATTGTTTCTAATGTTATTATCGCTATTTCTGTTACGGTTGCACCCGATTTAATTTTTACTGCTGGTACTGCAGGTACGCTGATGTTGATGTAATAGTTGCAGTAGGTGCTCTCTTGCGATTCATGGTACTGCCTCTTAGGCTAAATTGTAGTTGTGTTTTAATGCTATCTTTGTAGACTGAGAATCTGCTGCTACTTCTCTTGCTGCTTCTACTGCAGGTACGCTGACGATGCTGCTAATGGTTAAATTGTGGGAATTTAGCGGAGGTACCTAGCGCTCTTTAGCAGAGGAAGTCTTGGACTCAAAGAGTCTCTTAGTTATAACAAATTAACTTCGACGTAAAGTAGTTCAAGCGTACAAGCTCAACAATCCATGTTCCGAAGAGATACCGTTTCACAGAATCACACGCTTACTAGTAACTACTAGTTAAACAAGAGTAAACGCCTTGACAAAGCTAATGCTCTGAACAACACACTACGCCTTGAATAGGCAATAGTGTCCAACGATTCAAAAGGGGAACTGAACTTTTTTTATTCTTGAACTAGGGTACCAAAACCCTAAAACCTTGTCGGACTGACTTCTACACTGCGATCCTATGACGGAAGTCTTATCCCTACCCTATAAGGTGCGGTATTACCGTAAGTACGTGGTACCAATATTGTACCACTCAGATCCCCCGATCTCTACTTGGTGTGGACACACAGCAAAACCGGTTTAATAACCGCGTGTAACCTCGTTACACCCCACCACCACACTGTCGACACCCTTGTGTCAACAATTATTCTACTGCGCTTTGAGGTCTCAGAGCTCTGGTCCTTGATCATCGTACTCATAACACACCTTAAATGACTGAGTCAAAGCCTTCGCCTGACACCCTTAAATAATTTTTCAAAGAGGTCATAATGGACTGTGAGAGTACACCGCTGCGTCGAGTAGCTAAGGCCATTCTCAAGCCACGCCACCGGCGCGTAAAAACACGCGCATCGCGGCGAATCCATTTGTGGAATGCGACGAGGTACCTTCACTAATAGCTCAGCGTGCATTCGGCGACCCTGCGTCGGGTGTAATAAACAACACTCTCGATGAAGACCAAGCACTACACCTTCAGTCGGTCGATGACCGCAGGCGCCAAGCACAAATTGTAGCCACAGCCAATGCTCACAGTGGCTACCGCTTCACTCCACTTACTGTAGATAAGCGTATTCGTCAGACTGCCGGACAGTTACTCGCAACATGGATTAAGGGACCCAAGGCTGTCACAGCCACAGCAATAGCGGAGATGGGGGCTCTCAGAGAGATGTACTTGGGGGTTGAACGTATGAACAATCAAGTGTGCGTACAAGCTGAATTTGCAAGCTCAAGGTACATCAGTGTCCGCCATGCAAACGATCCCCATCGTCTCTTCCCTGGTGAGACAGAGGCGAGCCATGATGTCATCTTCACGCGTTGGGCTCACCGAACGCGTCTTCTGCCAAGCCTGAGAGATCTCCAAGAGAGCGCTTCACTTGCCGACGATTGGCTAAATCGGAAGATACGTTTTGATTTCGCTATACAGAATTTTAAAGGCTAACCGCGCTCGTCTTATCGCATTAGCCATGCTGCGGCATCTACGGACTCGCTCACCAGCGCACCTGCTGCAGCTGCAACCCCCTTCACTCCCACACCGACTCGTGGGAAAAGATACGGTTCGACTGACCCTGAAGACGACGTTCAAACGCTTCAACGACACACGGACAATTCTGCCACAGTGGCACTTCATATTTCCATGAGTTCTCAGACTCCGTGCACCCTCGCCACTGTACCATGAACTGGTACTGACCGTTGCGACGACGTCGCTGCAGGAGACCGTCAACATGGCACTGTTCATCCCTTTGCTCGTCAACAAGATCAGGCGATGGTCGGTGAACTCGACGCGTCGTCGACGAGTTAGTGCACGACGTGCTCGGTCTGCGTGACCGAATGGCGCGTCTTGAAGGTCAAACGGATCGTCTCTTAAGGATTCCTCGACTTGTGGCATCGACTCCTTCGGCGCAAGCGTCTCGTGATCCACCAGCGACCGATCAAGATCAGGCTTAAGCAAGTAGACGTAAATCACTGGGTGTGTTCGCTTTTTGCGTGGATGGCTGAGCGTATACGCTAGGCCCTTCTTAGCCACAACTTTAGACTGACCGATTACGCGAGGTCGCAACCTGGTCTTACAGACCGCTGACACCACCTCAGTAGGTAAATTTCCAGCATCAAGTACGACTACGTCTCCAACTTCATAGTCCTCGATAAACTTTTTTCTTTTTTCATCAGCTTGTTCCTTCTGTTTGTCGTAGATATCAGCCATTGCGTCATGTAAATTTAGTACGACATTTAATTGTGTGGCAAAAAATCGCTCACCTTTTTCTAAACAGTATTAGGGCTGACATCAGCAAACCGATTGGCTATTCCTCCCCCACTAAGCCCAGAACCACGTAGTGGTAGCGTTAAAGGAACGCGTGGGAAAGAGAGACCATTTGCGTAGAATGGAGTAAATTCTGTAGATGCATTCACAGCTTTGTTAAAAGCAAACTCGACCGCGAAGATCATAGAGCTTCAACGCCTAGGCTCATCAGCACAAACACTGCGCAAAATGTCACTAATGATACGGTGACACGGTAACACGGTCAGTATGATCGGTCTGCGGATGATCCACTGTGGACATGTCCAACCTGGCGATTAGCACCTTGAAGATGGAAGTACAAAAGTTTCTAGTAAAACGTGGATCGCGATCCAAGACAAGTGCCACAGGCAAACCGTGTTGACAAAATACACGGTTGATACACAGCTGTGCTGTACCTTCAGTATCGATGGAATCAGGCACACCTGATAAATAAGCCATCTAGCTTAAACGGTCAGCAAAGACCAAAATAACCAGTGTTGCCGTCCAGATTCTTCGGTAGGCCAAACACAAAATCAATACTGATGGAATCCCAACACCCAGTGGGTACAGGCAAACTAGCAAGCGGTGAAACCGCATGTTCTGAGAGTTTGACCCGTTGACACGGTTTATATGTAAATACATATGTACTCACCCATTTGTACAACTAGGGTCACCAATACGTCAGATTAAATGAGATATAAGTCTTCTCACGGCCGAGACGGCCGCTCAAAGCAGTGTCATGTGCCTAAAAGAGGATAAGATCCTTAAGTCCTCATCATGAAAAACAACGATGCTAGGCACATCCTCAACACCTAAGAAATAGCACAACAACTAACCATCGATGACATATCGATGTAGGCTCGCACGTAAATGTGCCGAAAATTGGATGTTCGGGTCTTCAGGCTCCTCTCTTTCGAGAGCATGTAGCAATAATACATATTGCGCATCACGTGCATAATATCCACAATGTATGACGACATAGTCGTAACATGAGCAAGCTCATAATTATGTCTGCGTGACAACGCATCATTCAAAGCGTTTTGCTTGCCCGGCTTATACCTTGCCTCGGAGTTGTGTTCATCCAATAATAAAAGCCAACGAGCCATATGCTGTGAGAGGTGAGGCAACTGTGTTGCAGTGCATAACAACGCATGATCTGTGAAAATTTCAAAATGCTTTAGGCCAAGTAGGTGGACATTGAACTTAACAAGAGAATGTTTTTTTGCGAGTAGATATATGTTATGAACTGGATAGTTCTTCTCTGAAGTCTTTAGCTGACTAGACTCATACGCAATGACGCGCTCATGTCCATCGAAATCTGCCTGCAATGACGCACAACAAATAGAAAAAAATGACGCGTCACAGACGACACTAAAAGGCCACACAGGGTCAGAAAAAGCCAAAATTGAAGCATGAAGTAGACTGTTCTTTAAAGCTGTAAAAGCTTGAGCATGGACTGCGTCCCAACACGAAGTGTATCCTTCTTGAGGAGGTTGGTTAATGGCCTTTCCATAGCAGCGTGGTTTTCACTGTAGTTGTGCAAGTAATTAGCAAGGCCGATCCATTTACGCAAGTCGTTTTGGTTCAAAGTAACCAGCCAGTCAACATTGACTTTACCTTAGCAGGATCCGCTCGAAGGCCACACTTTACAATGAAGCACCCGAGAAAAGGAATATCTTCAGCACCGTTATTGCGTTTCGATGTATTTTCATTCAGCTTGTTTGCATGCATGCACTCGAGCAATGCTCGTAAATGGTCAATGTGATAGTCTAAATATGACCTACCAAGGTATGCACGGCTATGGACAACGGTATCATTAAACTAGCTTTGTGAATATCGTTGGTGAGATTGGAAAAATTGCGTCACGAGACGATTTAACGTTGAAGGGGCATCAGATAGTCCTTGGGGCGTATCAAGCCACTCCCAAAGAATACCGCTTGATTTGTTAACCGCTGTGAGCGGAATAACGTTCGCTTGCATAAACAATTGATGATACCCATCGATCAAGTCGAGTGCACTGAAGATGGCACATTCAACCATAGCGTTCTGAAGGTCATCCATTCCAGGGATATGTGTCCTGCTGGTATAGTTGCTGCGTTAAGCTTATTGCAAGCATGCACAATTCGCCACTTTCCATTTGGCTTCCTGACTCAAAATGGCGGTGTCGAGTACGGAGACTTTCTCTTACGCCCCATGCCAGCAGCGTGCTTTGCACAAACGAACTCGTCAATGACGTCACACTGCTCCTTTTAACAGGGAATTGCCTTGTCACACAGTATTTGGTTCCAGGAACCAGATTAAAATCATGACGTACGCCTCAATGAGAAGGTAGAGTAAAAGGTGGATCGTGACACCCCACATCCTAAAACTTCTTTACCTAAGGATACAATGGGTTCTTAGGATCATTTAAGCTTGACGAATCACTTCTTGGACTCTGTGCCGCCTTTGTGTCTTCCAAGACATCCTCATCAAGAAGTGACGACGAGTTCAAATCACAACTGGATCTACTGAACACTACTTCAGATGAGTCACCTGACTTCAAGATCAGGCCAAACTCATCGACCGACATTTCGTCTAGCTTCAACAGAGCATTCAGTGAGGGTAGAGTATCAAGACTCACTGACCCATCCACATCACCGGTCACTCCGTTCACGAGTGAATATAGCTGCTCGCTAGTATCACTCAGTAACGTAACAGACGCCTTGCGTTGCATAGCAGCAATCTAGATTCCTTGATTTCTCTGTGAGAAGACTGAATGTCTTAAAGAGACTGTAACTTTCTCGTTCTCAACGTTGATGGCATCATCATCCTTAACTTGCTCTATACAAGAGCCGGTGTCATTACCGACACCCGTGTAATCAATGTCCCCAATTTAGTATGACCTCTAACCTTAAGTTGCTATTTACCAGAGATAATGTCTTTACCGACATTCGGTACTATACCAGTCCCAAGGTGACGGAGTGCGTCAACCTTAATTTGCTCAGTATCAGGGCCGTTTTTACTACCGACATATGGGACTACACTGTCCTTAAGGTGAACAACATTAAACTTAATCTGATCTATGTCAGATCCGATGTCATTACTTATATCTAGTAATGAGTCAATTCCTTTGATATCACCACCTAGTGGGTAATTATTTGCCAAACCACGCTCATCAACGGGGCTTCGCCCTTGATGACTATTTATTTCACCAATAATGTCCTTACTGACATTAAGAGTGTCGCAATAACGGCCAGCATTATTCAGTGGGTACTAACGTGCCACCCCACGCTCATCAGATGGGTTCAATTCATGATGACTTGACTCTAGGCCAACAATACATTCAGAATTTAGTGACTCGTTATCACAACGATTATTACTCGACGTAGTACGTGCTGTTTCACTAATATTAATTGAGCTTGGCTCGTAATTAATGCTTTTGGCATCTTCCAGCTTAATGTGTTCGGCCATCCCGTTGTCCAGCACACTGACTGTCTCAGTCCGTGGCTCGCGCCAAAAGCGTTAATTTTTCCTAGCAGAGATGGGCTAATGGTCCTCCAAACCCCCCTAGGAACGGTGCGCGCGCGTTGCGCCTAAGTTGTTTGACCTCCAATCAAGAAATGGCTCAAGAAGTTCTAGCCAAGCCATGCCAAGGATGAGAATGTAACTCTTTTTCGAGTCAAGGACTAGACAGCGGTCGAAACTGTCAAAGTCCGAAAACTTGACACCTAAGTTCACAGAAACTTTGCGCACAGTGAATAATGCACCTGGTGCCAAGCGCTGTTGCCAAGCGAATAGTGATAGTCTCATTACGTCGCGCTTTAGCGCCTCAGCATATTGCTGACTTCCTTTAGGGGAACAAAGTAGGACGTGGTTTCCCGACGCCCCGGATTCGATCAATATCGACCATGGCTTGGCAAAGCCTTTATTGTTGCTTTCGCAACTAACAAACCTGGCTTGTACGCATGCTTCGTGACATTGTGCACGAAGTCACTTGGGGCTAGTCTCTGTTCTTCATCACCTTCCAGATGTACAACAGAGTCTAAATCCTCTCCAGCACGGCACCCCGCGCCTACTGGGACTTGACGTTTTCCCGCGCCTTACCAACTCTTTGGTTATCGATGGGAGGTCGGCTCGAATGAGCCTATATGGTCTTTTTTAAAGGACAATTGAAGCAGAGATATTTGGTGCTTTTGCACATAAAACATATACGGATGTTCGAACGCTGTTCAATAGCGTAAAGCTCTGCTTCTCCGTCTCTCTCAGCTAGTCTAATATCATATGTTCTGCCCGATACACGGGATGAGCAGTGCGCGACGAATTCGATTGAATTCCACAAGTTCCGTAGCGGGCAGCTTTAAGATTGAACTGTGCGTTTAACGCTATGTCCACTGCACCCTCAAATGTTGAGGGTTGAGCACGAAACATTTCTGTTCTGGCAATTCCAGTCAGAGACCCTTATAAAAATTATTTACCAAAATCGTCTCAGATAAAGGGGCAAATTGCATAGCAGCAATGAGATTTCGCAATCCTGAACATAATCGACAGATTCCTTTTTACCCTAATGGGTTTACAGGAAGCGTGATTACACGCGATAGGCCTGATTAGTCAGGGCAAACACCCGCAATAGTTGCTGTTTCAGCATGTCGTAGATTGAAATAGTCTATACTCTCGAGGTGCCAGAAGTGAAGTCCCAAACCCTGGCTCGCCAATCCAACTTTGATAGGACCAGGCCTACCTTCGGCTGCTCTGACCGCAGCAAGGCCGGAATGACATCAACCTCCATCTCTTGAACCCACAAAAGAAGATTTCTACCTCTTTCCCATAGAAAGTTTTGACACTTAAGACCAGAGGACGATTCCTTCACTCAGTGTCCTGTATTGGAACAATTCAAGTGGGTATGTCATATGCCAAATGGTCATGGACCTCCCCGATCAACGTGGACT